CATCAAAAGAGCCGCCGCTAAACAATGACAAAAAAATTCGCACAAGAATGCGTCAGAACACAAAACAGTCGCCATCTTGCAAAACAGGTATCTTTTGTTTTTAACCGGATAAAGGAGTCAGGGGTCAGTTGTAAACCCCCACCCTTAGGATTAGTTAACACCGCACTTTGCTGTCACCGCAGTTGTCGTTTGAACTTAACACGGATTACATCAAGTTAAGTTGGATAAGTTATGTCAAATGTGGAATAAGGTCAAGTGAGTGTTGAGCTTAAAAGTGTTTGTGAAAATGATGGATGATTTCGATAACAGTTTGAGTAAACTGACTCAATTCGTGAAACGTTGGTGGGAAGATGATTATCAGAAGGTTTGTTTATTTATCTATTGATACTTATTTAAAATTCGATACTCTTTTGACGTCAGGTTCCGCTGAGATAGGCCACTATTATGACTTCTTACCCTATTCCCTCAACTATAAGATTCTTGATTTCTCTCTTGTCCCTCTTTCTTATTACGTTATGAACGGATATAGATGATATTTAGCTTTTGTACCCAGATCACCTGGGATATGGTTCATCCCCAAAAAGTCAGGTTCCCGAGGGATACGTAGTTTTTGTATTTTATAGTTCGTATGTTTATTTTTAATACTGCACGGACGAACAAAAGTTAGTGAATAGTCACTATATAGTTCCATGCTAGGATAGAATTAAGTGAATTATTACGACAATTTATCCTGTGAATTTGCAGAATGACACTATTTTATTAGATAACACAAAACGGTTGAAGATTTGTCATTATATTTTATTTTCGTCTAAGGCAATGTATGTAAAGAGATCGATATTTGACCCCGTCGTGTTATCCAATTATTAATAATACCTCTTATGATAGGACGGTGCCTTAAGCCGAGATTAAGATAAGTTGACCGATGTCCACACTATATCATTACCTGTATTAAAGTTAAACGGCCGCGTTCGGGTAATTTTATGTGCCATCTAAATTGTATCAAAACTGATAGTGGATTACGCTTGTCTTTTGTAATAATGGTGTTGATGTACTAATGATGGACACGTGATGAAAGTCGCCATCTTTGTTTTGAGATTGTTATTGTTTTTAAATCTTACTTTTAAACACTACTTGTGTGTTGTCTTTTAGGGGCTGTATCACCACTGGCTGATAGGCTCAGATAGCTTAAAAATGTCACTCTCAGATAATGTAACAAATCTATTCCATCACATATTCTACACGTTGGATTGCTATCAGACAATTTACAATTGGGTGGGACTCTTAGACTTTCGACAGTAGACAATTTTTATTAATTAATTAATAAAATAGGAATGTCGTTTGCGCTGTCAAATGTTTTCTTCGTCCATTGAGAACAACCTATTTCCTTTGCTCAACACTGATTGATAATGTTAATAGCGCGATGTTAATTCAATTAATAGACAAACAAAACACGGTGCCCACCCACGCCGTATGATCCGCCATTGTTATGGCTTTGACAAACACAAACATTCATATTCCCGCGCCTTTCTTCATCTGCAACTAGTGTACACTCACTGACAGTTACAATAGACGCTTTTTACATCTGTTTACTATTCTAATTTTGTTTTTCGATTAAATCTCGATAGCCAGTGATATGTTAAAATGTTTACTACACTGTTTAACAAAGGGGTAATAATTTTAAACCAATAAATAAGTATTTTTCATCCATTCTTTCAGCATTAGAAAGCTAAATAGTTTATGAAAA